GTTAAGTGATGCAATGTATTGCCGGAAAAGCCATGACACATTTTTTGCATAGAAAAACAGAAAAAAAAACCGTTACGACTTTTCTGACCATCCAGTATTTTTATGCCAGGTTATGTACTAGGCTTTAAGGATATTCTAGTAAGCTAAAATAGGTCTATTGCTTATGAGACTATGAAAAAATATGGGAAGTAGTAAGATAATGATAAGAAGCAGCTCAGAGGTAGTGTTAGGTTACCCTGGATATATACTGTCTATATGTGGACAACTAGTTTTGACTTTTGTTTAGTTTTTTCTAGCTACTATCTATTTTTAAAAGTACAGGTATATTAATAAGTCCCGTAGGACCAGCAAGTGGCATGACTGACTGCTGTTTCAGTCCCAGATCTGCCGGCTTGCTTTCTCATTTCCCTCTCTCTCTCTGGTGAATTAAAATAATAGTACTAAATAAAATGAAATAATTCTTTTAAAAAAATTCCCCTGACTGTTTTTCTGTTTTTGTTTTTGATTGCTTGTTTTTTTGCCACAGGGTGCATGCACTTGCCAGAGAGAGAGAGAGAGAGAGAGAGAGAGAGAGAGAGAGAAAGAGAGAAAGAGAGAGAGAGGGAAAATGAGAAATCGTCCAAGGGGGATGGCCACATTGCAGTCCCTTTTCCTCCATTCTCCTTGTGAGATTTTGGACACACAGGCACATGCACCCAGCATGATTTTCAAGCTGCCAGGTCTGGGACTTGAACTGTAGTCAACCATGCAAGAATCTAGAGCCTTAAACATCACACTACCTGTCGGTCCCATCTTTTTTTAAAGTTAATTTTCTTTTTCTTTTTAAAGAAATAATCTTTTTAAAATATAATTATTTATTAAATTTTATTTATCCATTCATTTATTTTTAATTTGACAGAGAGAGAGAGAGAGAGAGAGAGAGAGAGGAAGTGAGAAGGCAAGCCACCAGGTCCAGGACTCGAACTGTGGTCAGCCATGTGGGAGTGTCCAGCACCTTTAACCATCATGCCACCTGCTGGTCCCTAAAGTTAATTTTCTTGATTTCATCCATGAGTGAGAGAGACAGAGACAGAGGGAGAGAAAGACAGAGGCACACACACATGCACCCTCACAGGGTCCCAAAGCTAGTATCCATCTGCAGCTTCTGGCAGCCAGGACCATGGGCACACAGATGCCTAGTATGCTTAGGGAGGTCTCCTAATATGAACTCTGAGTCTTCCCATGTGGGTCAGCCTCTCAGAGTGCTGTTACTGCTCTGCCACCATCTGGCCTCTGTTCCTTCTTTGGTATTTTTCTGGTGCTAACTGACTAAAAGATGAGAATTAGGTGTAACACAAGAGTAGCATAGCTGGGAAAAATTCTTTAACTGCATAATAGTTCCCACATGAATAGAAAAGCTTATAAATCCTTCATCTGTGAGATAATGACAAGTGGAAATCAAGTAGAAAATGCACTGATTGAAAACATAAAAAGTTGGACCAGCCAGGTAGCATGGAAGTAAAGCGGCTGGAACCCACATGGCCCACTGTACAGGTTCAAGTCTTGGACCTGGTAGCTGGAAAACATGCCAAACATGCATGCACACATGCCCCAAATCTTCAGAGACTAGAGGAGAAGGGATTGTGGTGTGACCACATCCACTGGGGGTTGATTTCTCATTACCAACCCCCTCTCTGTCTTTTTCTAGTGAGCACACATGGCAATTTTTTTTTAATAATAATTTATTTTATTAATTATTATTGTTTTTTTCCATGAGTTTTGCCAGAGAAAGAGAGAGAGAGAGAAAGAGAGAGAGAGAGAGAGAGAGAGAGAGAGAGAGGCTCGCCAGGCAACCCCCCGATCCGGGACTTGAACCACTTGAACCACTTGATTGTCCACGTGGGAATTCTAGTACCCTAACCACCATGCCACCTGCTGGCCCCTCCTAAAGCAAATTTTTAAAAAACTGAAATAAGCCTTGGAAATAGACATATTTATAAACTAAATTATGTGACTTCCTGCCTCAAGGTACTTACAGGTCATTTTGCTTATTTTGCAATATTTTTCACACTCTTTTGTTACAACAGCCTCCTTTATTTTTATAGTGTATGCAAACATAAACATTTTAAAGCAATTTCTGAAAGCAGAATTGCAACTTGTCATAGCAGTTCCAGTGTCAACCTCATTCCCCTGCCTCCAGCCCTTCCAATACAGGTGAACACATACACACACACACACACACACACACACACATTTATTTCTAGTGAGCTGCCATGGTTTGAATGTGTCCCCCCAAAATCCATGTGTTGAGATTTGATTGTGATGGATTAAGAGGGTGACATCTTAATCCGACTATGCTATCGAAAGTTGGGGCCTTTGGGAGGAGATTAGGATTATGGTCATCAGGATCAGGTCAAGGTCCCCATGGTCGACTCCTGGTGGGTTTATAAGGAGAGAGAATGAGAGAGACATGCTCATGTCTGCTCTGTCCTGCCATGTGGTCCACAGCAGGAAGTCCCTCTCACCAGATTCCATCCCTGGACCGTGAACTGCAGAACCATGATCTGTGTAAACCTCTATTCTCATAAATCACCCAGCTTCAGGTATTTTCTTTTATTAGCCACAAAGCTAACTAGAACAGTAGCTAAAATACGATTTTTTCTCTTTTTTAGAAAGATTTTTTTCTTAAAGCCATTCGTTTTTTTAATCTATTTATTTGTTGTGATTTTCAAACTGCTGGGTCTGGGACTCGAACTGTGGTCAGCCATGTGGGAATCTAACACCTTAATCATCGTGTCAATCACTGGCCCTAAAACAAGATTTTCATGTATGAAACCAATTAGTGATTTTTCTCTATTGTTTTCACCCTATCCTTGTTCCTCGGATTTCCTATCATTAGAACAAAAATTGGGGGCAGAACTCTTATACACAGAATCATACACACACACACACACACACTATACTCCAACTTTTCTAGTTGTTCAATTTTAGTTAACAAGTCATCTTTGTTTAAAATTTTTAAAAAAATTTTCCAATTTTTTAATTATTATGTGTCAAAAGGATAAAACGTAGAAACTAGAGAAGCAAACAAGCAAAAAAACTCTCAAGCATTACTAATTCTATCATACACAGATAACTACCAAAACACTGGCATGGATGCCATTGTAATGTATATAATCTGTTTCATTCACTTGTATAATCTGTTCACTTCATGAACCTCTTTTCATGTAAACAAGTATTTACCTTCAACATGCATTTTAGTAACTTCTAAGTATCTCAGAATATGGATGCACCGGAGTTTGCCTGTCCATCACCCTACTGTTGAACATATAGATAGTTTCTATTTTTTCAATGTTACAAACATAGTACGTTATGAAAGAGCACTATTCACCAATCCTGAAGTTTCCTTCTGTGACAGTGACAGTCCTGGATTTTTTCTGGGACAGAGTGCTTTATCTGATGGGTGTGTTTGAGATGAGGACCTGGGCCTGTGCGGCTCACACCTTTTTCTCCCGGGAGCCCAACTGTGTTCCTAAGACCAGGTACTTGCTCTAAGATGCCAGGACAGGAGGCCTGTGACTAGAGGTTCCCTCTGTCCAATTCTGGAGTTCAGTGTTAGAAGTACTGGGTTGTCGGAAAAGTAATGCCATATTTTTTCTATGCAAAAATACATCATGATTTTTCTGACAGCTGGGACTTGAACCACTTGAACCACTTGATTGACCACGTGGGAATTCTAGTACCCTAACCACCATGCCACCTGCTGGCCCCTCCTAAAGCAAATTTTTAAAAAACTGAAATAAGCTTTGGAAATAGATATATTTATAAACTAAATTGATGTGACTTCCTGCCTCAAGGTACTTACAGGTCATTATTGTGTCTGGACATCTAAGTTCTGTTCTCTAACAATCACATTTTGATTCTTATATATCAAGGTGCCTTCTATATACATTTCAAAATTAGAATTGGGGGGGTCAAAGGTGAATCTATTTTAGGCTTTTTGATATGAATTTTTATATTCTTCTGTAGAAAATTTGTAGCAGTGTACCAGTAGAGATTTGAGTTATGATTGTCTTTGGAACTTCAAATTTTGCAAAAATATCTATATACCTACCTATAATATATCTACTATGTAAAATACATTATTTACATTCAATTATACTATATATTGGGACCAGGAGGTGGTGTGGTGGTTGAAGTGCTAGACTCCTACATGGCCGACCATCTTTGTCTCTCTCTGGTAAGTGCATGTGCCCTATAGCAAGCTTAAAAAAATAATAATAGTAAGTAAATAAATAGATAACAAAAAAAGAAGAAAATTTTGGGTGCCCAAAATCCTGAGAGGAGACAGGAGCAGAAGGGATTACATTGTGGCCATCCCCTCTGCAAAGGGATTTCGTACTTTCCCTCTTTCTGTGTCTCTCTGATGAGCCCACACACTCTATAGCAGAAAAACTAAAAAAAAAACCCAAACACCTATATATTAAATATAAATTATATCCTATTTAAATATATATGCAAATTATGTAAATATATATTTAACCTGATTATACAAAGAATAAATATTGGAAATGGAAGGGAAGAATTATACAACATCATTACCTAGTTTTAAATCATCTGGGAGTTTAGTATAAAATAATTTCGGCCATTTACATATATATGTATGTTTTATATATATAAATATGTATTATATATATATATGTGTGTGTGTGTGTGTGTGTGTGTGTGTGTGTGTATGTCCTTATGTTTACATTAGGTGCTTTGAAGGAAAGCACCTTAGGAAAAAACTAGGAGATTTAAAAAAAATGTATTATTTCATTTGTAGAAGTAGGGGGTGTGTTAAAATAAGGTTTTTTTTCAGTTGTTCAGTTATTATGTCTCAAAAGGATGAAACTTAGAAAATGGAGAAGCACACAACTACCTATTGCCTATCTAGATGATCAAGATGATCAGAATGATCTCCCCAGATATCGACTGAGGGCCCCCCCCCCAGCATTACATAATAAAGACAAACAGTGCAGTGCATTGAGAAGTTAGACTTTTTATTTTTATGGGCCACAAATGTTGAGACTCTAAGTAACTTTGTATCATTTATTGTATGGATGCATAGTGTTTCCCCCTGTTTTTACCAGGAATATAGTAGCATCATAGATACCTGCTTTTTTGCATAGATTTGAAATGTGAAAAACATTCCACTCATCCTTTGGGGTTGTTTGGTAGAAGCCGAGCCCAACTCCTCCTCAGTACTGTGTGAAATTGGCTGTTATGTGCTCATGGTTGAAGGGTATGTATTCAGCAACGCCTGGGAATGAGCAGAGAATACACAGGTGACCATGGGGCATGTAACTAGCCCACTTCCAAAGCATCAGCCCATTAATTTTGTTAAAGGAGTGAAATAAATCATCGTGGGCAGTTTGATTAGTATGGAAAGAAGAAACATGGAACTGGAATTTAGGAAGGTCTTGTTCGCAGTCTCCAGGTCTCCATTTTGTGGAGCTTTGTGATGGGCAAGCTTCTTTTTTTTTTTTTCTCGCTTATAAAATTTTGTTAATAATTTGTACTCTAAAGAGTTATTTTCAGGATTAGAAACAATGACTTCTGGGTGCCTAGTATGAATACTTGGCACATAATAATTGCTCAAGAAATGTTGGTTATTATCAAAATGGCTTATTTAGGTCAAAATTTTAACATTCAAGGAAGGACCTCATATCCAGTTTTGAAGATTTTGTAAGAAATAAGGAGAGACAATGAGTTGAGGATTTTTGCCAGACAGGAATGATAGATGATAACAGCATCCATTATCTTTCAGATAGTCAGACAACAGAAAGAATGACAATTCCAAGGCCAGATCACTTTGGATCTCAGAGGCCTTTCCCTTTATCAAGACCAAGAGAAGGAGGGGGCCAGCAGGTGGCATGGTGGTTAAGGAGCTGGACTCATATGGCCAGTTGTGGTTTGAGTGCTGGACCTGGTGGCTTGCTTGCTCACTTTCCCTTTTTTTTTCTCCTCTGGTCAAATTAAAAAAGAAATAATAATAACAAATAAAATGAAATAAATAAATAATTCTTTAAAAAAAAGAATAAGAGAAGGAGATATCTAAGCAAGATCTATGTGATGTCAAGAGCTTTATTGTAGGCTTTGTTGCAATTTCACAAATTCTGACTGGCCATATTTTGTGAACTATGTGATTGACTCTAAGAGAAACCTCTCCCATTGTAATATTGGCTAGTGAAGCATCTTCACGAAGCTTCAGTCTTGGCTCTGCTGTGACTTTATTTGGCTTTACATCTCTCTGCATGGCTAACTGGGTATCATCATCCTTACACAAAGCCGTGCACTGGGCTCTGTAAGTTGGAGGATATGGGATTTGTGTAAAAACTTCACTGAATGTTAAGATTTTGCTGCATTCCAAGTTTTATTCTTGCAACATTCTCCACACAGTCATGCACACTTGGACATTTCTCTTTTTGGAGACTTTTAAAACAATGACTACAGTGGAAAGAAAAAGGCAAAGAAGGAATTTTAAATGAACTTATGGTCCTTGAGTTTGGAAATCTGGGTTTAATTAGTCATTCTCACATGCTAGAGGCATGCCTTGTGTAAGACCAAGTTTCCTTCTCTGTTAAAAAGCATCACCAATACCAGCAAAGTGTACATATCACCTGTCTATCTATCTAATAACTGTATGCACATTAATAATATATATGCATATAAATACTTATATGTATGTATGTGCATATACGCACATACAGTTGACCCTTAAACAATTTGGGGATTAGCGGAGCTAACAGCCCTATCCCTGTGTAGTCAGAAATCTGCATATAACTTTGTAAAAGAAAGTTATTATTTATTTCTTCCATGAGTGAGAGAGAGACAGCATCCCCAACTACATCTTGATGCTGCAATCCACCACTGGTCTCAGCCGGCCTGGGATCATGGGCATGTGCTTGCATGGCATGCTCAGGAGGTCTGCTGCCATGAACCCAGAACCTTCCTGTGTGAGAAAGCCTCACAGAGTATCACATTTTAACCCCCGGGAACTTTAATAACCCCCTGTGTATAAATTTTGACTCCCTGAAAATGTAACTACTACTGTTGATGGAAGTCTTAACAATAATATAAATAGTTGATTAACATATATTTTGCATGTTATATATATTATATACTATATTCTTAACAACAAATTAAACTAGAAGAAAATGTTATTAAAATCATAAGGAAGAGAAAGTACATTTATAGTACTATAGTGTATTTAAATTGTCTGTTTATAGGGCAAATGGTCTACCTTGTCTTTGGGAAAAAAAAATCCATGTATAAATGGACCTTTGAAGTTCAAGGGTCAACTGTACATGTAATGATTGTATATACAATAACTATATATATATATATATATATATATATATAGTATACAATTACTATATATATATATATATAGTATATCTATATATACACAGAATATACAATTACTATACATATATATATACACACACATATACACTCACAGTTATCTATTAAATGAATGAGTGAATTAAGCAAAGGAATTAAGGAATGTAATCTTTAAATTATAAAAGAAATGCTCTTGTGTTTTGTTCTCTCACCTTTGTTCAAAGGTGTTTTGCCACTAAGAAACTGCCAGTATGTCTTGTGATTAACATTTTCTGCAATATTGTTGATAGAAGAGATGTAAAGTCCCCAAGATGTCATTGTGGCTTCAAATCTAAGAATAAAATGATAGATAATTAACGTCTCACTTTAGGTTAGGTAATAAGGGCATAAAATGAAGGGATAGAGACATTCTACATGCTTTGAAGATTAGAGAGAATCATGTCTAAAAGAGACAAATGTAAATGGCTAATGAATATGTAATTACTTCACTTGGCTTACATGAAATTAAAATGAATGGGTTTTTTAAACACTTATCATTAAGGAAATAAAAAAAAATGTAAATACCCAACAATAGGTGAATAATTAGATGAGGGATGGAAAAAATAGTCAAGATTGACTATTTTGAAGTTATGGAAATTGCATCATTTGGTGATATTTAATAACATATTCAAAATTTTTCATGCTTCATAGCAATATGAAGGCTAATTTCCTTAGTATTTCAGGCTTTTTACAGTGTCATCCAATTACTCTTTCAGACATCATTTACTTCATTCAGATTTGTATTCTCTCCTCTAGTCAAGCTGGCCTACGCACACACATGCCGCAGGCATATTTCTCAAGCAGCCAGGGTCAGGACTCAAATTGCAGTCGACCATGTGGGACTGACTCCCTTAACCACTAGGCTACAAGGTCAGCCCTAGCTGACCTCAAATTTCTTGCTAATTCTTATCTCAAATACTTTCTTCCAGCCATTTTTTTCTTTTCTAAAATTTATTACTATTATTACTATTATTTATACATTCAATCACTATACATCATTTAGATTATAAAGAGACTTTACCCAGCATGATACACACCTCAGTCCAGTTGGGAATACTATACACATCCTCAACAGATAATAAACCGTATCTGTGTTGCACAAATATCTTATCTCTCCATTGTTTTTCCCTAATTTTTCTTTCTGTCAATAGAATGACCCCTTCTACTTCTTCCTAAATACTATCTATTCTCTGTGATCCTAAGCCACAGAAACTCCTTTGGCCATTCTAATTCACAATGGACTCTTCTCTGCATCCCTGTTTTTAAAACTCCATCATATATTGACTTTTGTGGTTTAACTTTTCATGACAAACTTTCCTACTTACTAGATTGCAAGCTCCCTCGAGGAGCTAATAGAAAAAAAATTTGTTTAATTATTAGAAGGTAATAAAAGGTATGAAAATAAAGGAAGGAGAGAGAAAGAGACTGGAAATTGGGATGAGTCTGGAAGAAGAGCAAATGCCACTTGTAACACTCACTTGAACATGGGATTTTTGCGCTGTGCTTCTTCTAGGACAACAAGGAGCACTGATCCACTCTTCACACTGACATTAATGGTCACATTGAAGAGCAGCTCTATCCCCCTCAGCTGGTTATTTATGGTGTATGTGACAGTGATGTTGGATGCTGAGGTGGGAACAGGGCTGGGGAGGTTGGGGAGAGTTGGTTGCACCTCATGATCTGTGAAGAGCACAGGGGCCAAATTTGTTAGAGATGATGGAGTCTGCATTATAGATGTAAAAATCTGTGTTATTGGCAACACAACCCAGAGGACATTTCAAGAAAGAAGTAAGTTTCAGACAATTTAACAAATTCTTGGACAGCTAGTATAGAATCCTGGCAAGGCTCTATGGCTACCTCGTTAAAGTTGAGAAATCACTGGGAAGCAGCCTAAGGAATTAGGTGACTGTGATAATGTCTGTTATAATTGAGATCAGTCTTGGTTTTGGTCTCTGAGATTCTGCATCAACATAGACAAGGAACTTACTAATCTCTTTTTGTCTTATGAAGTCCAAGAAATGTAAATGACTACTATTTTCTATTAGTAGTTGATTAAAAAGAAGAATTGGGGCCAGCTCTGTAGCCTAGTAGTTAAGGAAACTGGATCGTATATGGCCGATGGTTTGAATTCTGGCCCTGGTGGCTTGAGAAATATGCTGGGTGCATTGCATGCATGCCCTGAATCTTGACAGAATGGAGAAGAAGGAATTGTGGTGTGATCCTTTCTCATTGGGGGTGCTTTCTCTCTCTGTATCTCATTGTCTTTCTCTGGTGAATGCATACACCCTCTAGCAATTAAAAAAAGAAAAAAAGAATTGGAGGAATCCATATCACACACTAGTTATCTCTGGGATGACAACTTTTTTTTGAGAAGAAACTTTCTTTTTTTTTTGGAGAGGTTTTTTTCTTATAGGGCACTTGCGCTCACCAGAAAGACACAGAGAAACAGAGAGACAGAAAGTGAGAAATCACCCCCCAGGGGGGCATAGCCATGCCACAATTGCTTCTCCTCCATTCTCCTCTCGGGATTTTGAGGACACACACATATGTGCCTGGTGTGAGTTTAAGCCACTGGGTCCGGGACTCAAATAGTTGACTACATGGGAGTCCAGCGACATAGCCATTACACCAACTGCTGGTCCTGAGAAGAAACATTTTATAGACAAAAGAATGTAACGTCCTCTGTTAAAATAAAAGTTCTGGAATTTTTGCTTTTTAAAAATTAAAATTAAAAAATTAGTTTTCAGGGACCAGCAGATAGCATAATGATTACTTCACTGGACTCCCATGTAGTCAACTGAAGCTTGAGTCCTGGACCCAGTGGCTTAAAACTCACACTGGGCATGTATGCATGCATGCCCAAAATTTTGAGAGGAGAATGGAGGAGAAGGGATTGAGGTGTGGCTATCCCTCCTGGGGGGCGATTTCTCTCTTTCTGTTTCCCTCTGTTTCTCTGGCAAGTGCATGCACCTTATAGTAAACATCTCTCTTAAAAAAAATATTTTTCAGGACCCCTCCCTCCACTTGTTTTTTTAGCTTTGTAACCAGCTATATTAACATAATTAGTGTACTTAAAACTCCAACTTAATTTGGAAACATTCCAGAGCTTGGACTTTCAGTAATTTTTTCTAATTCTTTAAAAGTTATCTTTTTCCATGAAACACAGCAATATCTAAAATCACTTATAGAATATCCTTACACTTTTGTTTCTTTAGTTTTATCACTTTCTGTAAGGCATTACTATGGTAATTGACCTTTTTATTATAATAATAATAATTTTTATGCATTTAATCACTGTACATCATTTAGCTTCTGTAGAGAATTTACCCAAGATGAAATACACCTCAGACCAGTCCAATTGAAAATACTGTGCACATCATCAACAGGTAATAAAACATTTTTGTGTCCCACAAATGTCTTACCTATTTTTCCTCCCTAATTACCTTCCCTACTTTCCCCCTCTCCCACCCTCCTTCCACTTTGTCTCCAGTGTCAACTATTTCCAATGCTTTTATGTCCTCCAGTCTTTCAGTCATTTTCATAGAATGCAAACAGTCAGTATACGTTAAGTGGAGACATACAATGTCTCTCTTTCATAGCCTGACTCTCTTCACTCAGAAACAAATCTTCCATATTCATCCACTTTCTATCAAATGCCAGGAGGACTCCCACTTTCTAAGTGCATATTTTCTCAGTGTCTGAATTTTAAATATCTTTGTATTATATTTATAATTTAGTAAAAAATAAAGATAATTTCTTTTCTTTAATTGTCAGAAAGAGAAGGGGCAGAGGGGCATTGGAAGGGAAAGCACCCCAATGCAGCATGGTCACACTGAAATCCCTTCTCGTCTGCCTCTCCATCTTGTTAGGATCTTGGGCATACACACACATGTCCCTAGAATATTTCTGAAGCCACCACAGTCAGGACTTGAACTGCAGTTGACCTTGTTGGATTGACTTCCTTAACCAAAAGCAGCATGCCAGGTTTCCACTCCATCCTTTGAGTGTTCTGTGGGCATTAAGCTTTCATATTTAGATCTTAAAGATTTGGCTTAAATGTTTACTCTGTCAACTCCTAAGCTTTCCAAAGAAAATCAATAATTGGTCACTTTTTTTTTTTTCAGTATACGTGGCTTCTGTTTATCTTTTGTTTTTGTTTGAGAGGTTTTTGCTATAGGATGCATGCGATCGCTAGAGAGGCAGAGGGAGACAGAGAGACATAAAGTGAGAAATCATCCTTCAGGGGTGATGTCCATGCTGCAGTCCCTTCTCCTCCATTCTCCTCTTGGGATTTTGGGCACACACACACACATACGGTTGTGTGTTTTAAGCTGCTGGGTCTGGGACTCATACCATGGTCAATTCTGTGGGAGTCCAGAGATGTAACCATTACACCCTCTGCTGGTCCCCTGTTTACCTTTAATACTTATTTATAGTTTTGTTTACATATTTGTCTCCTGACTTTGTAGAGAACAGATATGATAAGATACACATAATATCTGATGGCACCTTTGTCAAATGAGTGAATGAAGCTATATGTTATTTGGTTGTTGGAACTATGAACTTCCCCCCTCCCTTAGCATCCCACAGAACGCTTTGCCCATAGAAGACTCTCTATGGATATATGCCGAATAAAGTAGACATGAGATTGAACTCCAGGGCAGAATGCTGTGACTGTGTGCTGGCATACACTGTGGGGCTTGGGAGTCAGACATGGCCCTGCCCACCTTAGAATAATGGACGTAACAGGCCAGTATGCTACTTAACACTGACCCCCATATCATTCCTATGGCATGGGAGAGGCAAATGTTAAATGAGTTCTTACCAGGGATACAGATGACTTGGGGCACATCTAGGTATGTCTTGCCCTTCAGGGAAGGGAGGATTTGGGCGATGGACATGGGGTTGTGGAATTTCCCCTGCTTAATCTCATCCAGTATTGTATCCATAGTTTTCTGGCAGTTCCACTCCTTGTTAGGTTTCTCAGGTGTCACAGAGAGAGCCTGGGACAGGAAGAAAGAGAGAAAGCTTTATAAAGCTTTATACTTTATAAAGGATAGAGTGGATCACTAACTGTGTGATTGTCCAGTATCCTACACACAGTTTGAACTATGTCTTCTTCAGCGCTATGTCCCCACCACTTGGTGCAGTTCTGTCACCTAGTAGCCACAGGACAAATCTGTGCACAGTAATCAGATTCAGGGACTGTTATTAGAGTTACTACTAACTAGTCTTGGATGGAGAATGAGGGTGAGAGTTCACAAAGCAAACTCTAAAGGGAGCTTTAGTCCAGGACAGCTTGGCCATGGGAACAAAGGAGACCTCTTTTGATTTGCGTTGTCACGCACACCTCTGGAGGACTTCTCCCACACTTTGTGATTGTGTTGAGAGTGTCAGTCAGAGGCCCCACAGCCTGGCTACACAGGTAGGATCATGGCCCGGGTGAGGCTAATCTCAGTGCTTCATTACCTTGGAGCCAGTGATTGGTGGACACACACCCGAATCAGAGTACACCCCTCAGATACAGACCTTGAGAGAGAAGCTTTATTTTTCTCCCTCCCAGCGTTATTCAAGTAGGACCACGTGACTCAGCATTGAGCTGCTAATGATCATTTTCCTTAGCTCTTCTGAAGAAACTATTGTGGGGACCAGCAGTTAGCATATGTCGCTGGGCTCCCATGTAGTCGACCGCAGTTTGAGTCCTGGACCTGGTGGCTTAAACTCAGGCCGGGCGCGTGTGCATGCATGCCCAGGATTCCGAGAGGAGAATGGAGGAGAAGGGATTACGGTGTGGCCATCCCCCCCGGGGGGGGGGTGTGATTTTTTGCTGTCTGTCTCTCTGTCTTTGTGGTGATCTCCAGTGAGAACACATACTATATAGCAAAAATCTCTCTTTAAAAAATAAAAAAAAAAAAAAACCATTGTGAAAATTGTCAGAATCAAAATGGAGTAATTTGTGTCAACTTGTGTTCAATCTTGATGAAACTGAGGTGGGGAAGGTGGGGAAAGCCACAGAAGAGACAGTTCCCATGCCTGTATGCCTAACAACAACTGTCACAAGGGCTCGACTGAAACCACAAGCTTGCACAAGGACCACTGCAGCCTTACACAAAGGCTATTCTGCAAAGCCATCTGCTCAGAAATCGCCTGTCCAACTTAGGACTGAAGCCTGTCCAACCTTGGACTGATGCCACCTTTGTTGTTGTTCCTGGTAGCCAAGGATAGTTGCCCCAAACAATTTATCCTTTCTCATGTTTCATTTAATAATTCTTATCTTCTCTTACTCCCCAGAATAGGATTGTAGGTTACTATGGCAAGTTTATTCCTCATTGTAATGCCCACTGCCAAATAAATTTCATTTTTCTTTTTGAGAGTTTTTCTCTGTTGCTTAGAGTTGAAGCCACATAGCAGAGAATGAGGGAAACGAAGCTGAGAGATGAAGAGTGGTCCTTGATGTTGTGATTGGAGCCCTTTTTTTCCTGGTTATTTGTGAAACCAGCTAGGTCAGCTCCAGACCTCCCAGTTTATGTAAAATAGAAAGTTCCTATTTTATTTCTTGAACAAAAATGATTGAGTTTCTGTTACTTGCAAAATGAGCTTCAATTAATACACCAAGAAATACACTATACTTTCTGAGGTTTATATCTCATGGGTGAAATAGACATCAATTCCTGCCTACCTTTGGGGGAAGTCATTTGAGGCTGAATGTGAACGCATTTTGTATCAATAAAGTGTGATATGGAGCTGTCGTTTCCGCCTCCCTTCCTTTAGAGTTGGGCTGACTGTGGCCACCAGAGCATGCTAATGTGCTGACATGGCTGATGACTGACTCACCTGCAGCTTGGGATGCGAGATGGGAGAAGAGAGAGGGGTCAGAAAAGGCTCTCTCAGCAAGAGGCTGTACCTGGACAGTTGTGAAAGGTAAGATCATTCTCTTAACCTTGGTAACCATGAACCATGGCTTAGCCAAAAGCCACTTTAAAATATAGTTTGGGAGGCCAGCGGAAGGTGCGGTAGTTATGGTGTTGGACTCCCACATGGTTAGGTGTGGTTCAGTTCCTGGATCTGGTGGGATGCTTTCTTACTCTCCCTCTCTCTTTCTCTCTTCAATGAATTAAAAAAGTAATAATAATAATAATAAATAAATAAAATTAAATAAATATTTCTTTGAAGAAAGTAGTTTGGTTTTAGGTGCATTAGGTAGGCATTCCTCAGCAACATATCTTGTCCACTTGCTGTATTCAACTCCCAAATACCACTAAGCGAGATGTATTCCCTTGGGGTAAACCATTCCTAATGAGAGAGGAGTAGGACATTGAGCTAGTAGAAGTCGTTAATAATGGAATGAAGAAGTTTATCAAATCCTTTTTCTTTTTACTTTCTTTTTTTTTTTTGAGAGATTTTCACTGTAGGGCGCGTGCGCTTGCCAGACAGACAGAGAGAGACAGAGAGACAGAAAGCGAGAAATCACCCCCCAGGGGGGATGGTCACGCCGCAATCCCTTCTCCTCCATTCTCCTCTCGGGATCTTGGGCACGCACGCACACGCGCCCGGTGTGAGTTTTAAGCCACCGGGTCCGGGACGTGAACCGTGGTCGACTACATGGGAGTCCAGCGACATAGCCATTACGCTAACTGCTGGTTCCCTCAAATCCTTTTTCAAGGTAAGTTCCTATCAGATGGACATTGAAAGCAGTGAAATATTGATGCAAGAAAGAAGAAAAGTTCTGGAACAGAAGTGCTTTGTATGTGCTTTTGGGAAGCAGTGGGGGTGTCCAGGTCATTTGAAGGGCACAGATATCCTGGAAGAGGATGAACAAAGACTGAAAGAAGGTTCAGTAGCACCACTGTTCTGCTGGGAGAGCCCATGAACAACTATTAAACATTGTGCCTGAAACTTTTTTTTTTTAAGAGAGATTTTTGCTATAGGACATGTGTGCTCCCCAGAGACAGAGACAGAAAGTGAGACATCATCACCTGGGAGGAAGGCCACAATACAATCCCTTCTCCTCCATTCTCCTTTTGGGATTTTGGGTACACATGCACATATATCTGGTATGTTTTAAGCCACCAGATCTGGGACTTGAGCCATGGTCAGCTACATGGGAGTACAGTTATGTAACCATTATGCCATCTGCTGGTCCTGTGCCTGAGACTCCCCCCCACCCCCAATTTTATATCATTTCATTTATTATCCTCATTATTATTTGTTTTTAATTTGATGAGAGAGAGAGAAAGAGAAAGCAAACACCAGGTCCAGGACTTGAACTGTGGTTGGCCATGTGGGACCCCTTTATTATGACCCTATTGGCCCCTTTATTTCACCCCTTTAATGTGTAAAATTACCAATACTATTCTCAGCACCTCAACCACCACATCATCTGCCGGCTTTTTTTGTTTGTTTGTTTTTTCGTGCCTGAGACTTTGAGCACACCACATTGCATTTAACCTCGTTGCAACTTCGTTACAGTGGGGAAAACGAAATTTAGATAATTCAATATTTGTCTGACATGGTGGCAGATCTGGGATTCAAACTCAAGCTGTTATAGCTCCAGAGCTCTTTGCTCATCTACACCAGATCATTTTAGATGAAAAAAATACTATATACTTGATGACTGATGATTTCAAGTTTCAAAATGCCTGGGTAAACACCAGCTATGGAAGTAAGGAGG